AAATGAATCTCTTAACTCTAAGTGCACTAACAGTTTCTTGTACGCTGCCTTAAATTGTCTTGCGGTAGGATTATTATTATAGCCTCCCATCGACCGAACAAGACCAAAAAACAATTCTATGTGATCTTGACTTACTTTATAGGTTGGAATGTATACAAGGAAACTATTTTCAATATCAATTAATGTTTTATATAAATATTTAAGGCTTTCTATACAAAACAAAAATCCTACTGAGCCCATTTTTCTGCCACTACAACATAACAGTTCGCCATCTATTAATCTTAAGAAGGATAAATATTCCGAAATGTTTTCCAAAAAATTATTAATTTTAAAAAATTTAATTTATTTATGGGTTTCTTAAAATCAACTTGTGCCATATGTCGAGAATTGAATATATCAAATAAGTTATTGACATTTCTAATAAACTTTACTGTTGCCTCTGATTGCTCAAATTGTTTTAGTTTTAAAACTTCATTGCAAAATTCTATTGCATGTGCCACATAACTACTAAATAATTGAGTAGCGAGTCGCACTTTCATTTTTTGATTTTTAAAGTCAATATGCGACTTTTTTACCTTATTCGACAAGTGGACTTCCTCCTCATCTTGCAGTTCTGATAATTTAATTAAATATTCCCATTTAATTAAATTACCGTCACCATCAATAAGAATTTTTTTATCACCTAATGTATTTCTTAATAATTTGATCATGTGACAGGGATAAAAAAAAATCGCTATTTGCTTCTGAGAATGTATATCTCTAAAAGTCGATTTATTGTTGTTAGAATCCATACTACACCCTAACTCTTTAATCATTGTAACATTATTAGATGCACCATCAAAAGTTACAGAAACCAACTGTATTCCTGTATCATGTAAGAATTTTAAGCAATGTAACAACAAATTATGCTTTTGTTTACCTGTTAATGTATCTACTAAAAAATATCCTAAAGGAAGCTTCCACATCTCATTTATACAAACTAACATAAACACCAATGCTCCTTTTGCTACAGGATTACAGTCGGTTTCAATGTGGGCTCCAAAATCAATAAACCCATAATATTTAGTACCATCCCATTCAACATGTTGTCGAATGACCATTTCATCAATAACTAAATTACAAATAAGTTTAAAATTAGTATTTTCTGCCTTGAGTTTAAGTAGTTTAAAAACCTCTTCTGAAAATCCTGCCTCTCCAATAACTGATTTATACCACCTTGATAATGTTTTTGGATGAGGCAGTGCAGAATTGAAGGTATTTCGTACAAAATTGTATGCCTGTGGTGAGTAATAATGTAAACTGAGAGCGAAAGCCTTTAATTGTTCACCATATTTATGTTTTGCACGTATCTGCCTTTGTAGAAATTCTTCGTTGGGTCCAATTTGTTTTAAACTCTCCAACATTTCTTTGGGAACTTTGCCTTGAAGGGATTTAATAACATTTGTTAATGTTCCAACCTTCTTTTTATAATACCGCAGGTTGTTCTGTAGTCGCTTTATGGTTATACGAGCCGTTTTAACCTATCAGATTAAAACAAGAAAACCGACAATTCCGAAGCAGAAGCGGATGATTAAAACGCACCTGATAACTGATTTTTAATAAATGAAGTTTAAAACAGATTACTTACTAAACGGGGTACAGCGGTTTCTTTTAAATGTATCGCAAAACATGATATTTGAAAATCAAAATCATCTCGACGAAAATGTAAATGACATACATTTGAATTAGTATATAAGTTTTCCTTATCCACGTTTAATTCTCTTCTCCACCGCTCCCTCCTGACAACGTCTTTTGGAAATCTAAAAGACACATACGTGGTCACAAATTTTTATGCATCTATTCATAAAACGGTTAAATAAGCTGGCGACATTTTAAATAAAGAGAATATTAATATTAAATAAATAATAATTTTTAAACAAAATATGAATTAAATAGGTCTACCTCATATTATTATAAATAAATATCGAATAAATAGTTTTAAAAACAATTAAAACCCTAAAACCCGTTGTGAAGTTTGAAACAAATAAATTGGAAATTAAATTGATATGTTTGTATTTGATTGTATGTTACTCTTTCCACTGCTTAAAGAAAGATTCCCAATTAAACAAGAAATAGTAAATAGTTTACAATAAAAACCTTTTATGTTACTTCTAATATGTTCCAATGAGCAAGTCCGGTTCTGTTTATTTTCAAATATACAAATATGGCGGTCGACAAAATCTCTACAAATTAAATAACTTACCGAAATAAATGTAATTTTCCTTTGTCGACATCACACTTCGCACTTTTATGATAAACACAGTTTTTTACAACACACCTTGGCATTTTCAGCCTTAATTTCCACAATTTAAGTCTTTAAAATAATAAAATTCATTCTCGTTGACACAACAATTTGAATTAAATTTGAACGGACAACACTCTGCCATGTGACGTACTATTACTTACTCAACTGTGATTCGTCGGTGTGAATAGTTTAAAAGCGGGATTATGCGCAGTGTTTTATGTTCCATCTAAGGTTTATATAATCTAAGGCCATAATGAATCGAAAAAAACAAATGCTTTAACATACCGAAAAAATATAATTAACAACTTAAAATGTAAGCCTTTACTTACCTGAGCAACCAATAAAAGTTAATTTTAAAACAAAAATGGATGCGATGATTGCCGATTTGATTCACACAATAAATTTTTTACATGTATTTGCCCTATAAAGGCGGGTACAGATCTGAGCACGTACGCGTATAAGGGAAGCCGAGGACGCATGAGCATGCAGATGTGGACGAGTTTCCGAGGCGCTGCAAATTGCGTCGTTGTGTGTTCCGTACGGCCTTGCCCCGATCCGTTTGTTGGCGGTACATCAAAAGGAGGCAGTGCGCAGTACGTGCTCAGCCTGGACGGGAAATTTGTACCATACAGAACCGTACAGAATATAGTGAGTTTTTAGGATTTATTTTGCATGGAGTGGAACCAGGAAAACGTTTTACTTCTCTTGGATTTAAATAATCAGCGTGATATCTTAAGAGAGCAAAGCGCCAGTTCTATTACAACACTATAAAAAAAGAATTAATAATTATTTATAGTCCATAAATACATGCGATTGTTCGGTTTCACCGGTAACTATTTAAAATTACTTATTCTATGAAACGACACTGGCAGGTAATCACTACTGCGAAATTCTCGAAGCCTTTCGACGTGGTTTGACGTTTACCCCCTCTCCACCTACCAAAAGCCTTTCCAATTTCTGCCCCTACTATAAATCGTACTATTGAATTAAGATACTTTATACTGATTACGTTATTCATTATATTTTTAAATACATTAATCTTGTTATTTATAAATACCTTCTCTGTATTTGTAACGTGTGGAGGGTGGGTTGCCCCCACGACACTTAGGCCTCATTAGGCCCATTGTGCATCCTCCTTAAATAATAGGCACCTCCTAGCTCGTGAGCCAGCCTACAGATTTAATGTAGTTGACAACGTCGCCATGAGGTGATTATCTTATATCGGCCGGCATTAGCCGATACTCGCCGAACATAAAACTTTTAATAAATGAGAGCATAGAGCAATCGTAAAGGATATGCTCGATGGTCTAATCTTCTTGTTCGCACCCTCTGCAGAGTGCGGATTCTGACACTCCCATGATATGGAGATGCTTTCGTACTTGGCAATGACCAGTCAGAATGCCTGTGACTAGGCGCAGATTCTGTCTAGTCAGTCAAGTATTTGTTTGCTGCAGTTTTGTCAGGATAACTTAAGAGATCCTTGGCAACTCTGCAGTTTTTTGTTTCATCCCATCTTTCCTTGAATTTCACAAGGGAATGTTCTTTGATTATGTCTGTCACTACCGATTTGGTCAGGCCAATAGAAGGGCCAGGTCCAAAAAGTATTTGGTTAGCTGCTCTCTTGGCTAGTAAATCAGCAAGACAGTTACCTTTCGATGTGGCGTGACCTTTGATCCATTTTAAGTTGGCCACATTTTTGATGGATACTTCGGCCAAAGCTTTGTGACATTCTAGTACTGAGTAAATTCGTGGTCTGTTCAGGGTGAGTAGTGCTTGTCTGCTTTCTGTATTGATGAGCATATTCCTTCCAGTGACATTGTTTCTGGTTATTTCTTTTGCTGCTATGAGAATCCCCGTTGGCTTTGTTTGAACTACGCACTGGCACTATTGCTCACAGCCTATTTTATATTTAGGTTTAAGGATCTGGAGTATATTTCACATCCTGAGACTTGTTTTGTTTTAGATATGAATCGTACCTGCTACTTTCGGCTCTTCTATTTGTTCCATTATAACTTTATATGGCTTATGGAAGATATATCTCGGTGAGATATATCTGAGAAATAGTGGGCTATTGAATTGAGAAAAATAATTCGAAATAACAGGTGTCTATCTACGAACATACAGAATGTCATTTCTGGTTAAGCCAGATGTGGGCAAAAAACGACAGGAACAAGGAAAAAACTTATGAAAATTAATAGAAGATTGGTAAAAACTGCATTTCGTTATTTCAACTAGTTTAAAAGTTACAGGGTTCAAAATAAATATAATGGAACACCTGGTATAACCACAATAAAATCCTGAAAGGTTGAAGCATATTTATAAAGGTAAGTTTGATAAAAGTTTAAATTTAACACTGTCAGTCAAGTGTGATTTTGAAAATTTTCAGATAAGTTCTTAGATAATATTAAACTAAGTTGTTGATTGCTTAGTGGGTAGTTGAAATACAGGCAGTATTTTTTGGAGTTCTGCAGCTCTGCAGCACTTATGCACCATGCACCACCCGCCACTGGAATTCCCACTTATTTCACCAAATCTCTAAATTTGATTTGACGAATTTATGATCAAAAAATAAATTTAATTTTCATTAATAAATCTACGATTTTATTAGCTGGTATTATTGAAACAAATTTTTAATAAAAATATAATTTTTATTTCTGTGTTCCTCAAGGTCTGTGCCAAGTAATCTGCAGCGATAAGAGAGTGAATATCAACAGACCAAGCATGGTTTCTTCAACAAGTTTCATTAACATCGTAACCTGCTTTACGGACATCAGTACGTGCGTAAATTCGTCTAATGTCTAAGAGGTCTGAGCTTGTATAACTTTTTATAAATAGTTTTTATCTAAATTACCTATTAATCAACTCACTTTATTATAATATTAAAACGATTGTAAAAAGATAAACACATTTTATATACAGCGTTGTATAACGAAAGATGTAAAAGCAAAATTAGGCAGCAGAAGCATTAAATTAATTAACTATCAACACAGAAAAAAATATCCATCACAGTATTTTAGATGTCAGTGATTTCATAATGGATGTTTTTTTATATAAACCAAATTTTTTAGTCGCTCGACATATATTTCACTATTTTTTCATTTAAGTTAGTAAATAAAATTATAAGTTCTGTGCATTAACACATCTATGATTGAGACTTTGTACTCTCTATTAGGGATAAAATGGGTCCAAGTCTTACATAGCTAATATAGACATAAATAAATGAGAAAATTATTCAAGGAAGCAGATCAAAGCAAAGTATTTATTAAAGGAGACCGAGTACATGAATAAAAATAGAATCATAATAAAAGAATCATTTAACACCACCCACACAGTAACAAATACAATATTCTTTTATTAAAATTAACGTGTTTTGGCATCAGGGGCCATTGTCATAGGTATAATAATATATTAGATATTACAGAGGATTTAAGTTAAGCTTTTAATAAACGTGTTTTTTGCTTGCTATTTGTAGATCTGTACAGGGGATGGAGGGGACAACATGTACTATGTCCCGGTGCTAGAAGCTGTTGTGTAATCTGACAGATTCAAAAATAATGGTTCTTATCGATGGAGTTATTTGTTTTTTGCTGGCAATTAAATAATTTGTTTCTAGACGTCTATAACAATAAAAAAATCCTTTTGTAAGAATTTTCTGTCGTCCGGTTTTGCTACTATCGATGTAGATAAATACTTACACTTACAAAGATATATTTTTATTGTTATAGACGTCTAGGAGCAAATTATTTAACTGCCAGCAAAAAAACGAATAACTCCATCGATATGAAAAAATATTTTGAATTTGACAGGTTACACGACAGCTCCCACTACTGAAACATAGTACAAGTTGTTAACTTCCTCCCCTAACTACAAATAGCAAGCAAAAAAGCACGACATGCCACTTTTTGCAGTCAGATGAGGGACTAATAAACTTATTAAACACGTGACAAAAAGAGGTTTTTAGGTGTTTGGACACAACAAAAATTTACATTAAAAAACAATAGTTCACAAAATTATATAGTGAAAACCTTAACTCATACTAATTTGAATTTGGTTGAATAAATTCACCTCTTTTAAATAATTGAACCGTTTCCCAAATTCACTAGTATTATATCTTAGAATAATAGTCATATCACTTAAAATATTTTTAGCTCGAGTTTTGTAAATACAATCTTCCAATATTACATGTTTGACCATTAAGGCCTTTTTACAGTGCTCTCGCAAAGAGGATGTGCTTCGGCAGACAGTAATAATTATTAATGTTTATGAGTCGATATAGTATGTCCAATTCTGAGTCTTCTAATGATGATGTTTTTTTTCTTTGACAGGTAGGACATTTTAAAATGGCGCTGAGTTTCCCAAAGTTTCTAAGTAGTGATATTTTCATTGTGCCAATTATTTTCCCATTGATTATGCATCTTTTAGCTCAATACGGTTTATAATTGTTTTCTGATGGTAGATTCATCGCGGTACGATCAGCTTCCTCATTGCCTGTAATTCTGACATGAGAGGATACCCAAATAAAAGAAACAGAAGATCGTACTGAAGCGTTCAATTTAAAACAGTCGTGTTTTTATTGAACCAAGGGATGTTGAGTATAACCCATAGATAAATTTATTATTAAAAGATAAACCGTTTAAATGCACGGCACTAGTAACAAGTGGTTAGTTCCGGCCATACTAGTTGGCACCACCATCGCAAGCTACACAATTGGCTGATTAACTTGACAGTTAGAGGCTGCATAAAAGAAGAAAATTAAAAAGAAGAGTGTCAAGCCTAACTAAGCGCGACTCGTTCAAATGTCCTTTATTTATTTACGTTTTTTGGTATTCATTACTTAAAAACTAATATTTACAATACTGTATTTAACATAAATATTAGTTTTTTAAGTAACAGATCTCCAAAAAATATAAATTAAAAATATTTTCATTCAAATATTTAAAAAACATTTATTACATACATAACATTTACAAATAACAATAACTGTACGTGAAATTAGTACCCAGGCAGCAGACTGACGTCATTATGACATCTTATTTTCGTCATAGAGGACGTCATTTATCCTCTAAGAACTAACGTGACAGTGACAAGTAAGTTGCTTGGATACCCATAGTAACCGCATGCGAGATAAGGTTGTCAAATGGTCAAGATGGTCAAGACCGTTCGTTGCAAATCATTCGCCAAGCAACACATGCGGAATCACTCGCTACGGCAAAGGCTTTCATGAATACCATTTGTTATGTCACCGCATGCGAGAAGATGTCGAACGCCGTCAGGAATTAGGACCTAGCCTGCTGAATACTAGAATAACACTTATATTAACAAGTAGGAGCTGAACAAGAATACTTTATTTTACCCGAGCTAGACACGTTTTGTTACAAATAGGTATATTTTAAAAAGAATTGAGAATCGATCCAAAATTAAATTATACTTCGTTAAGGCTATGAGAAAATAATGATAAACAAAGTCCTTAAACAAATCTAACACCTTATTAAATTAAATTGTGAATACTTACTAATTACATCAAATCGGCAGTTATCAATCTTCTGAATCTAAAAATAACTTACCTATCTATGGAATTACATCAACTACATCATAATAACTTTTATTTTATGATGGCTTTTGTGGCTTTTTCGACCATTTCGCCTTCCGCTATTTATCAATACAGTTGTCAAACCTCTCTTTAAAATATCCCAGCAATAGTATGGCCATTGTAAAGATGGTATCGAGCACGACAAAAACATAATAAGGTGCATTTAAAATAACTCTAATCTCATGAAAGTTAATGGAAACTGGCAACATCGCTTTCGTCTTATTTGCGATGGTGGCTCCAAATAGTATAATAATAATATTTATTCAGGAAGCAGAATCCATATACATAAAATAGTGAAACACAAGAAGTTTTAACAAAAATACAAGGATTATCTACTATACTGAAAAGGAATCGTATTCATCGTAGCCTATCAGAAGACAGACTAAAATGGTTTTCAATATTAATAGTTTAAATATAAACACCCCTTAAATGTAGTACATATATAAATACATAATGGATACACAAAAAAATGAAAAAAAAAATGAAAATTGCAATTAATAACAATGACATCATAAATACCTACCTAGTCTAGTAGACGAAGCTCAATGAAAATTAGTGAACGTTGCTTCAAACAATAAATATAAAAATATACAAAGATCAATCAAATAATCACAAATTAATATTTATATTTTAAAATCGATCAAAAGCTGTTCCCGAAGTAACAAAAATTTCAACTTATTTTTAAAAGTTACATGACTTAATTTTTTAAACTCTGTTGGTATAAGATTCAGGATACGGCCTATTAAATATAAAAAGGAACTTTTGAACATAGCAGTGGAATGTCGAGGAATAGAGATATCATCCTTTCTGCGAATATTAATATTGTGTACATCGCTCCTGAAACTTATTTTGTTATACAAGTATAGCCGGAACTAACCACTTATTACCAGTGCCGTGCATTTAAACGGTTTATCTTTTAATATTAATTTATTTATGGTATAAAGAGGTATAAACATTTTTATTAAAGTAGATTGAAGAAAGGAAGTCTTTACATATAGCGATATAAGTATTCTCTGGAGTTAGCGATTTCAAAGCTTGGTTATAGGTTATAGCCAGAAATTTGGAATTGATTATGATGAAATCTTTAGTCCTGTAATAAGGTATGATACAGTCAGAACAGTACTTAGTGTAGCTGCATCTAAACGTCTAAAATTGCTACAATTTGACGTGAAGACAGCCTTTTTGTATGGGATTTGATGATCATACAAGAAGAGTGTGTAAACTGAAACGTAGCTTGTATGGCTTCCACAATGTTGAAAGAAGCAGAAATGAAGAAATGATAAAATAGTTCAACTGACCCACGTTTGTTTCTACGTATGAATATCAACCAAATGTTAATTGTAGTAATTTACGTGGATGATGGGCTTGTGGCTTGCAGTAACGAAATTGAGATGATGAAATTTATCAATGACTTAAAAGAAAATTTTAATTGGATAGTTTTCTCAATTTATAAATAAAAAAGATGTTTGAAGGTATTTTTGTGAATCAAAGTGCATATATATGGAGGTTTTAAAAACTTTGACTCTGTTTGGAGGAAGGCTAAACAAAATAAACCAAGTAAAATATCTGGGTCTAATCCTAGATAGCAAACTTACTTGGAACCAACACTTACAAAAAGTGACCAACAAATGTAAAATGAGACGGGCATTCAGAAAAACATGGGGATCAAAACCAAAAATGGTCCACTGGCTATATTTGGCAATACCAAGACCCATGATAACCTGTATGGAAATCATTCTAAACCTCCCACGCCTTGACCTAGTCATACAGTGGGAGGCCAGAATGAGTGCATACAGACTGGAAATCTCCAACAACTGGAACCCACTCGAACATATAAAACATACCAGAATAACACATGAAGTAAATGATTCTATATTAAACATGGGATCAGATTACATGACACCCCTCCTAACCTTTAACAGACTCTTCTAGGTTAACTGCAACTAGAACGGGGTAAATAAGGAGAAAGATAAATACTTGCTTAGCGGTCTCGTATGGTATACGGATGGATCCAAAACTAATAAGCGAACAGGCTCTGGCGTACATGAAATTAAATCCAAATGCGACATCATCGATTCACTAGGAAAACATACCACTGTATTTCAGGCTGAAATACATGCAATCTAATTGTGTATACGAGAGAATTTAAGAAGGAAGTAC